TTTGAATTTTCCTGTTTGTGCTACGTTACACCTGATCTTACAATATTATTGGACAAAGATCACGTGATTGCGCTCTTTTTCGCCACCACTAAGCTACTTGTGATCGAGTGACAAATAAATTTACCACCTAATTGCTTCGAAAATATAAATCGTAATTTCTAAAGGTTTAATTACCTAGATTGACACCATTTTTAGTATAAAATATCATCTTATTCTTAAAATTCAAATAGTATCCAACTGTATCACAAATAGTATATGGTGGTCCATATGATTCGATATTTCTAGGACAAAAAGAATATCCATCATCACCATGATAGCCACACTCCCACGATTCATTTTCTTTATTATCCTATTATCTTTATATTTATGGCCTAAGAGATTTTATGTTATAGGTGTTAATCTAAAGCAAAATAAAATAAAATAAAATAAAAATCTGCATAAGCATTTTATTTATATAATCTGACTTCATATTTGAATTGAGATGATTATAAATTACAAGCAAAATGGTAATGTTTATAACATGAAATAATTATTAGTGGTACCCATTTTTTCCTTTATCAATGATTTTTAATTTCAAAATAAAATATCTCACATTGTGAAGGAATTTACTCGAACTATAACAGCTTTATCATCAAGACCTTTAATTAAATTACCAACGATTCATTAAATTGAGATATTGCCCAATATATTCTCTTTTTCATCTCATCCGTATAATTCACTTTAAATCCATTCGAGTCTATGCCAATAAATGGTGATTTATCTTCAATATCCCATGCATTTGGTAAAACAAAATATGAATCTACCAATTATGCAAAAGCAACTTATACGTATAATTATCGATTTTATGCGTGTGTACAAACATTTGCTATTTCCAGCTCACAAGAACATAACCTATAGCTAGCCAATGTCATACGTAGCGATATGCCAACTGATAGAACTCATTTATAATTCACTTTATCATTATATTAAATATTAAAAATTTGTTCACACGTAATGTTTCAATTTTACATGATTTAATAAATTTTAGTGCTTACATCTTAAATTCTAAATTTGAAACAAACCCAATTGTTAACTAATTGTTAAATGTACCCATCTAATTTCTCTAATAATAATAATATTTAAATAAAAGATTGATCAAAAGTGTTGGGGGGGTTTAAATCGGTGGCTGTCTTTAAATTTGCATTTTATCTTAATTTAACAGACTTCTTGATTTAGTATAATATAGTGCTGAAAATTTTTTTTTGAATTGTCAACATTTTCTTTATTGTTTATATAAACATTTATTTCTTTACGGTTTATGTTTAGCTTGTGTTTTAACATACTGTAGCTCATTATATGAACCTACACAACACAAAATTTCATTTTTCTGGACATTGCATGATCCTGCATTTACAATGCCTAGTATTAAGATCCTCGTTCATTTCGGATAATAAAGGTTTATATATAATCATCATCACCATCATGATGCAGTGTTACTAAAAGAAAATAAATAAAATATAAAATCAGATAAATTTTTATGAAAAAAATAAACCATAAATAATAATAAATTAATAAATAAAGCTAATAATTACCACTATTAAATTCTTCAAAAGGATTATCACCACTAACATTAACCACGACTTTCTCCCCTTCCATATCTAAACTAACGCTTTCTTGAATATTCCGGAAGTTTACAGCATCAGTACCAAAACTTTGTTGAGGTACAATTGGCGGAGTTGCATGCCTCAGTAAAGCCCACTGCGTGCTCTTAAAGAAAGGATGTGCTTTAACATCAGATGCACCAGCTTTAGATCCAAGTCGTCGATTTTCATCCTTACATAGCAATTTACGGATTAATCCTTTACAAAGACTAATCAATAACAAGATAAAATTGATGATGTTTTTAATTAATGTTAGCTAATAATTGTATGCTATTATAACAATTGTAACTACCTTGTTACCGTTTGTGCCCCCCCTGTTTCCGGAAAACATACATCATTTTTTAATATATTAGAAAAGGTAGAATTTCGATTCTGACCTTTGAAAGGAGTGAACCCGTACTATAAATATAAATATTTTAGAGACAAACACATATATTTAATTAATATATAATATAAGTTTGTCTACATAATCACCAGCATTTCGTATATTAGGATCCCAAGTGTCCACCAATCAACGGCACTTGTGTGTCCACAGCCTTTAATCACTAATAAATCAAATATGTAAATATTCTATTTAAAATATTTTGAAACCAATGAAAAATAATTCAACAAACAGAATGAGTCAATGATGACTTATTACCTTCTGGAGCAATGTACTCTGAATAAAATATCATTATTAACAAAAAAAGAATATTGACATTTAATGAGTTGAAAATTATTATGTATGAAGAGGAAATAAAGTTATTCATTTTTAAATACCCTCAGTTCCAACAAAAGAATTTGTTCGAAGATGAGCAATACATGATTTTGTATCTATTGTTGGCGGCTTTATAAAATAAAAATTATGTGTATTAGTATAATGCAATTATATTTATTTTTAATAATTACCATTTATTACTCACAGAATTTCCAGAGCTATTTTTAACAATTCCTGGCATATTTGCTGGATGAGATTGTTTTGAAAGATCAAAATCTATAGTTTTTATTCCATAGATGAAATGTAAATATTATTCAACACATATTTCACATGCAAAGGATGATATCATTACATTATAGTAACCTGATAACATGATATGTCCTGATTGATGCAGTAATATATCTATTAATATACAATGAATTATAAAAAAAAAATTGGGAATAAAACAATTAGTACAGTATTAATGTCATTACGTTACCAAAAACGGTACTTACTTTCAGGTTTCAAATCACGATAAATAAAACCCATTAAGTGCAAATATTCTAATGCAGCAATTACTTCAGCAGCATAAAACTTTGCATCTTCTTCCGGTAAGCATTTCCCTGGCCGCGTTTGCAATGCTAAATATTATATAAAATTAAATTAAAAAAGATATATATTTAGCTTAAATATGGCTCAGATGATTATAATAAGCACCAACCACGAAAGAATTCTCCTCCCATGCAGTATTCCATGCATAAATATAAATAGTCTACACTTTGGAAAGAATGATATAGTGTGACAATAAATGGATGATTTGATGTAGCCAGAATTTCCTATACAATTAATATGTACTTTGTGATAAATTTATCTATTATTTAAAATTATCAAACTATCCTTTAACTAACCTGTTCAGCAAGCGCACGTTTGATTTTGTTTCGCTTGATCATTTCCTTTTTTGATAAAACTTTATGAGAAATATATATATATATATATATATAAAATAATGTTAATTATGATATTAGGTAGGAATTCACTAAAATAAGAAAATGTAAGATTTGACTCGAATCTTATGAGAGAAACTATTTTAAAAAATTTAAATACATTTTTATTTTTTTTTTTATACTAGAATACCTTTCATTGCATAAAGTTTGCCGGTCTTTTTTTCTCTTACTAAGTACACTTTTCCAACATCACCCTTTCCCAATAATTTAATCTTCTGGAAACTACTAGGACCGACTTCAACCCTCTTGATCTTGATCGAATTTGACGAATAAGTTCGTTTGAAAGTCCCAGACCGCTTTATTTCAGATACAGGCCTAACTGGAACAGACAATTTTACGTTATTATTCTCGTTGGAATTTCCGTAAAATTGATATAGCGAATTTCCAAGATTAGCATCGTTCAAAGCTTTAGTATTGGGAGCAGAAGCAACCCTGCGTAACTTTTGATTATTGTTTTGATCTTTTAAAAATAAGGAACCAATTGTTTTATTTTTTTCAGGTTTCGAACCCTCATTTTGAACACAATCATTAACAGAAATCTTTTCACTATCGTTTGACAAAACGGAAGATAAAGATGAGGAGGAACCATGTTCACCATTAACGGAACTCATCGAAGATTCCTTTTTATGACCGCCGCTTAGTCTAAAAAAAGATTTTAACTTTGAAGGAAGGTGGGCCATATAAGAAGGCGCAGGACTGGTAATAACGGTAGAGCCGCTGACCGAACCAGTACTGGAGGTATAAGGTAAATCTGCGAGCATGGGATCGGGATCTAAGGGAGTAAAGGTTATATCGTCCGCTTCGACAAACAAATCCGAAGTACTATGATATTGTTTAACTTTTCCGAGCGATTTTTTGTGATCGGTTATAGAAAGTTGAGCAGAATGAGTGAGAACCGTTGTATTCATTCTCATAAATGTGTAAAGGGAAGTTTTTACAATTTAGGAGATAAAAAAGTAAAGGTTGTAATTAAATATATAATATTCTATAGGTAAAAGTTTTCTCTAACATACAGAGAAGCGGGTCGGACTTTGAAAATTCTGTCGAAGTCGATTGGAAATGTGAAGGTCAGGTTATAGAACTTAAAGATCTATTATGGGATATACTCAGCCTAGGGATAAATTCGTACCGACAGTTAACTTTATGACATTCGAGAGGAGCGAGTCTTAATCGCTCAGTGGTTGACTCCTTTGGAAAGTCGAGTTATTGGAAATGACTGAATTGCAATACGTAATTATTAGTCAAAATTGATGTTCACTTTTCATAAAAACCACGTGAGGATTTTTAAAAAAAAAAATTAAAAAAAATTTTTTTTGTCACTCGATTATCGCAATAACTAAATAGCGTTAGTGTCAGTATATACTTTAAAATAATCCAAGGCAATCGAATTAATTAGCGTTAGTGTTAGCGTTAATACTTTAAATAATCCAAGACAATCGATTAATTAGCGTTAGCGTTAGTACTTTAAATAATCCAAGACAATCGAATTATATAATTAGCGTTAGCGTTAGTACTTTGAATAATCCAAGTCAAACGAAATTACCAAAAGATTTCTTTTACGTACGTACGTACGTACCTCATGCGTCGTTATTTACGGACGCCCTGTTATTCTATGAAGTATATTTACGTACGTACGTATAAAGTACGTATCAGTATATCTTTTTTCCTGTTATAGAATAAATATATCGCGAATTTACGTATGAAATTTGTGTATTTGACTAGACTATGAAATGCGTCATTTACTATATTTTTTTTTGACATTTGTTATTAATATGATTTTACGATAAGAAATGTCATAAGAAAAATATAGTAAATAACGCATTTCATAGTTTAGTCAAATACTCAAGTTTCATCGTTACATACACTTTTTACTATATATATACTGTATAATACGAAGCAAAATATTGATATTGGCACATCATTATTGACCCACCAAGAAGTGGTATAACATTTATCGCTTAATAATGCTATGCAATAAGTTTAAATCTTTTGAAAACGAAATAAGTTTCGCCGATAAGAGTTTCAATTTAATTCGTAAGTCTAATTATTTGACATAGAAGACAAAAATGAACATTTACCTAATGGATTTAAATAGGAATACTTAATATAGAAAATATAGAATATATATATATATATATATATGTGTGTGTATTTGGTTAAATTTTTTTTTCATGCTATTCTCAAATTATAATATTTTTTAAAATGTTGATTATAAATTATATAGAAGAAATATAACTAATGTATCAGGTATATACAGTATACGTATACGTATACGTTACAGAGTGAAAAATCCGTAACTGATCATAGTAAATTACGCATTAAGTCCAATTAAAGATTTTTACTTTGCAGCACTTATACGTACAGTATTCGCCTATACGTACGTATATTTCAGTATATTAAAAGCTTATGTTGTATGTATTTAAACAGGCTTCTAGCAAATAGAATATCCCTGCTATATCAAAAACCAATTTTACGTACGTATACGTACGCATATTACGCATATGTTTATTTGTTATACATAATAAATTCAAAATGTAGTTAAGAGTTTTTAAGTTACGTATACATACGTACGTACGTACAGTATAAAGTATAAAAATTTGGCAAAAATTTTTATACATAATTGGTTATAGCACTGTATTTGGTAAATTTAAAATTAGCAAATATATTAAAATTATTTATTTTATTTGTTTATTTAGTTTTGTTAAAGCACCAGTTTTTTACACAGTATAAATAAATTGTGTTTAGTTTCTTGTTGGCTAATTTGTTATAAATTATTATCATGCCGGCGGATTTTGCAAATTGGACCTTTTTGCTAGTCTCCAGACTGATAACTCAGCAGTAATGATTTAACTAATTAGTCTGTTCTACGTATAAAGTATCCCAAGAGTCTAATATATATAAAATTCACGTTCAACTGATTATTCTACCATTCAACTGATTACTTTTCTCAGAATAAAATATATTATCGGTTCATTACGTAGCTAAATTTTAATCTAACGCTAATATATAGCATAGATATAGTATTATTATTGCAGTATTGATGTATTCACTCCGACAATTGGTTAGATACTCCATAATTTTAAGGTTATTTAAAAATCCGCCGATATGTATACGTACGTACGTACGTACGTATTTAAATCAATTTAATTTTGACTAATAAAATTAATACTACTAACTTGCACCTGTTTATACAATATCCACCCCTTATTGTTTTTTTTTAAAAAAAAAATCTAAATAATGATGTTTGATGCATTAAATAAAAATATTCAGTATCTTATTATAGCCCTAATTCTAATCTTAAACCTAACCTTAACTTTAATTCTAATTATAATTTTAAAATTAAAATAAAAATTATAACAAATTATAAATTAACCAGAGGTTAAAATTAGTTAATTTCAATTAAAAACATATACGTATATGTATATATATATATATCTATCTATCTACATAGTCTGCCCTCGTTATTACGTACGTAGTGATCGGGCTGGAAAATTTTATCCGCTATATTGAAATATCTGTTATATAGTATAATATATAATAATTTTAAATTGTTAAAAAATTTAGTAGACTGTATACAAAAACCTTTCATAAAATGCATACTGTATATTATGTTCTAATGTCTATGCATGATTAAAAAAACGAATTATTTTTGTATAGTTCATACTGTATACTGATTGGTCTGTAGTATTCGGAGTATTCGGAGTATTCGGATAGCTCCGATCATGGTACTTGAAATTGGCCAATCAGATTTCAATTTCAAAAAAGAACAGGCAAAAGTATAGTATAAATGCTAACAACTCAATCGCCTCTATTCATTAATTGGTTTTTATAAATATATATCCCAAGTCGTACGTCGGAATGGAATTATTGTAGATTTAGAATCTACATAGCGATAGGTTGATTCCGATTAAACGTAGATTCCAAAATGTGCCGAGTCTTTAAAGAATCAAATTAAGTGTTTTGGAATTCAAGTCACTTTAGGATAGAATGGGATGACAACATTTACAATTATTTTTGTTACGCATTTTTACAATTGCATCTAGACGCTCCTCGAATGCTTATAAGCGTTGAAGGAATATTTTCCAATTTGTAAGTTTGTCGAGATTCAATGAACACAAGTAGGTCTGAGTCAAATCGTCTTTCAAGATCACGTATTGCAAATGTATTTTTGCCAAATAACGATCTTACGCATTCCCGATTATTATATCAAAGTTTTCACGTTTTAGTTACTAAAATATTTGGAAAGCAATTCTTTGAATGCAATACCAGATAAAAATCGATAATCTTGAGATTTGGCTATCGGGTAGAGAAAGTTGCAAAGAACGAAAATGTGAAATAAGAGAAAAATAATAAAAGATTTGTATTTTATCTTGATAATTTATCATGAAGATTATCGCTACGTCAATCAATTATACGTTTATTACATAGTATCGAGTTTTAAATCAACTTAAGTTGCTATTATCAATTATCGTTATACAATATCAAAATTTATTCCGTCCCAACCTAAGTGGATTCTAAATCAACAATAATTCCGTTCCCAACGTACGACATAAACAAATTAAAATTAATATATATCGATATATTATCTTTGCTGGAAAAATCAGGTCACGAAACATAATAAATCATATGCCTTTTCCTAGCAATAACAAGCAACTTAAAGTCATAAGTTTATATATAGTGTAATGTTATAATTAAACAAGCAGTTTGGCTACTTTAAATCTATATATAGTTCATTGGAACTGGTCATGTAAAAATCTAGATAAGGTTAAGTATCTTTTAAATTTAGTTCGATCATACTACCGTAAAACGCCGTATAAGGTACCCCCCTTGATTTGTACCCCCCTTGATTTGTACCGGGTATGTTTCAAGGTT